TTAAGGTGTTTAATCATTAGCTATCATTAAAAAAAATTATTATTCAATCATACTTCATACATAAATTTTTAAATTTCTTTTAATTTTATTTTTTTAAATCGAAATCATTTATTTTTTTAAATCTTTCTGATGTGTCTAAATTATACAAAATCTTAAAGTCCTTAAACTCCTAACATCAAATCTCTAAATCTAAATCTCATACGTCGCCACTGAATCAGCCACCATTGAGATCATTTTTGTTTCGTTGAAGTTCTTTCCACCAGAAATCTCCTTATCATCGCTCGAAAATCACATATCTTCGCTCGTCATCTCTAAATTATATTGTACGAAATCATTTTCCACACAATTTTCTTCTATTTGTCTCCATTGATAAGATTACATTATCATTCAAACCTACACCTCGCGCTCACCGCCTTATTTATTATCTTTAGGGAATTTAGTGACTAAGAATATGACGTTTAGAAAATAAAAATTTTTGAAGTTTTTTTTTAAACTTAGTGTTTTTACTTTTAAAAAACTAATATTAAACATAAATTAATGTTGTGTTAAGCAATTATTGATTGATAAATTAATGTTGTTTTTATTAATGTTGCATTACAATCCACTTTATTTATCTCTTTTATCCTTTATATTCAACATTATTGGTCATCTTTTTGTAACATGTAGTTCCTACAATTTAAACATAATTCAGGGTTGAAAATGATTTCAAAACTCTAACTTAATAATTTATTTTTAAGAAATACTCTGAAAACCTTTTTAGTTTCCAAACAATATGGTTTGTTTATTTAAATATAAAGCGTTATGGTAAAAATTAAGATTATAAACATGATGTTAAAAACATGAATAAATAAATTTAAAAACTCGTTTAGAAAGTTTTTTTTTGTAATTGGATGTAATTACACTCTTTAATTTTATGATTAATAATATTTTAAAATTTAAATTTATTTAATCATACAGTATAATACGTACAATAAAATGCCAATCCAACTCTAAAAGAGAAACATTCAATTTTCACCTCAACACACAGTTTTTTTAAAGGTTATATTATTATATTTTTGATAAAATCTAAAACGACATAAGTTAGGACATATATAGAATTAAAATTGTATTTATTTGAATTTTAAATTTGAATAAAAATATCTAAAAACATTAAATAAAACCGAACAGAACTGATAAAAACTTAAAAATAATTTTGTGATGGTTGGTTTTATTGCTGACAACGCACGCAAAACAATAATACCAAATTAAACATAGACTATGGTGGGACGGTTTAATGCGCAGCTCAGCCAGCTAAAAGTAAAAGGACAAATAAGTAATAATAAATAAATGAAATCATTCGCATTTATATATATAATCCTTGTGTTTTTTAAAAGGGTAAAGTACACAATAGTCCTCAACTATATGATATTTGTTTTGTTAAATCATTCGACTATTAAAAGTTATAAAATGATCTTCAACTATTAAAAATTATAAAAATGGTCACCGGACTATTCATATATTTCAGACTCGTCTTATCCACTTCAAAACATGGAGGGTTTCACATGATCAATCTCAATGCCCTTTTAACTGATAAGCCCCTTGGCTTCTCCTATAATTTGTGCCTCCTGCATGAGATGGGATAGGATTCGACTAGTAGAGCTTATTAAAAACATGTTGAATGCATATTAATTCAATTGGCATTGAAGATCACTGGAGATTATAAATTTGAATGGAGTTAAACATGTAATGTGAACAAGTAATTGGAAATTTGGATGTTTAAAGATAATTTAAGAAATGCAATTTTAAAATTGATTAAAAATTTAGGATTTGCTATGTCGTACCCTTCTTGTTAAAAAAAAAACAAACCCTTTTGATTTACTATGTACGAGCGTTGTCTATTTCTTCTTACAAGCATGCATGCATCTCGTTAATCAATAATAATGCAACCTTGCGTCAGCTATATTTACATACGTATATCTGTATAGATTATTCATTTTTATAGTGATATATGTGTGTGTGATGTGAGTGAGCGTAGTGTTATAATTAATCCTAGAATTGTCAATTTGTTATGGAAATGCCATTGGCCTTCCAGCTAGAAGAAGACAGCAGGGGATGAAGAAATACACAAATGCTAAAATGCATATAAATGGGGGCATGTCCATGCGAATGTCCTGTTTTGTTATGGGTAGAACCCTAGTTTTTGTAGACGGTGAAAGGGAACAATATATGCTGAAGTGGGTCTAAATTTCTTATTTGGAATGGGCACAACTTTGCTGTTTATGTCTGTCCACTTGCATTTGGCCACCATCGACGTGCTTTGCAAAAACATTCAAAACCCCTACCAAACAGCACTACCACATTCATTCATCCTCTTGTCTCTTTGTATAATACATTTTTTCGTGTCCAAATCTTGAGTTGAGTGCCTCCAAGTTTTCTCGTCCCTCGCACGTGCTATATATAGCAGCTAGATGGGATCGCCATGCATGCAAAAAAAGGAAAGCTCCATTTTCAGCCATTGTCAACCACTCAATGATGACCACATATAGATCATCAATTCACCCTTTCTTCGTGTCTGTATCCCTTATACGGCAACCAAATTAAATATTAATTAAGCAGCTTTAGTGGTATTGTGCTCGTTTTCAAATCGATAAAGTTGGCATTAAATAAAGTTTTTCAATCATATGGTATGCGTATATAAATATGTAGATACATGGATGTGACACTGCCGTCCATATATACAAGTTATACTTAAGTTCAACGTTCATGAATAAAAAAATTCAAAAAAGTTTTGCGTGGGATGTTGGTTCCAAATCTTATTATCAGTACACTCGTATTAGCAATTATCCGTCTGGTTCCTAATAAAAGCTTTATTTCTAATCAACATGATTATGGCATGCATGCGTTTAAGCGTACAAGTAGTTCCATGTAATTGTATGGTGGTAAGAATTACCCTTTCTTTTGCTCCACCAATATCAATTTTACAAACGTACAGACAACTCATCTCCGGAAATTACCAACTGGGGAACCCTAAGGGTGCGTTTGGTTCACGGAATGTAAGATTACCAGTGGAATAAAGATTACCAGGAATTGATTACTGAGAATATTGTATTTTGTGTTTGGTTGGTTTAGCATGAATGTAAGATTACCGTGTTTGGTTAAAAGAATAAAAGATTATTAAAAAGTATATTTGACCAAATTGTTCTTATTATATATTTGTATAATATTACAAATTGTAAAATATTTATATATTTTCTTTAAAAAATTAAATTCATAATATTTATAATATTTTTTACAAAATTAAAATATAAAAAGGTTTAATGAAAGGGTAAAAAACAATTTAACCCCTGAAATTCATATAAAATTTTAATTATAGACTTTTTTTGTAAATCTAAAATAATTTAAGGATAAATTTGTAATTTAACATTCGTAGAATTTTTATTATTCAATGACAGAAGAAGAATATTTTTGAAAAAAAATAAAAATTTAAGGGCATTTTAGTCCAAAACGCCGGTAATGTTACAATACCTAAGGGAAGGGAGGTAATGACATTCCCGGTAATATACCCCAAAAAATTTACTATTGGTAATAAACATTACCGGGAATGAGATTCCCAACCAACCAAACATGGGAATGTGGTATTCCCATCCCATGGGAATCCCACAATCCTTGAACCAAACACCCCTAAAGAAAATTATATACTGATACCCATGGTGGACAGGGGTGGGATGATTTAATTATGTACCTTTGGAATTTTATAATTTTATGTTTAAATTTCTAATATAACTCACTAAATATGTATATGGAACATAAAATCATTTATTCATCTCTAAGAAAAACCCTAAGAGCACTTTTAAGGTTGTAGTTTGGTTTTGGACAATATTAATTGTTGTTCTTCAATATTATACTTTTATTGTAACTCTTGGATTTCCACTCTTTGTTGGTGGTAAGTGTCTAGTTGCGTTTGAATACAACCTCGATGGTTGTTACAGTTTTTGAAGTAAGATATTGAGGATATATAGCCATAAACTGGTAAAAAAAATCTCTCCTGAATGTTCGAACCCAACATATCGTGAAGTGCATAAGATTGTGGACAAGTAGTGAGTAGTTGTTTCATGGACAAGAGAATCAAGAAATATATACATTCAGACAAGAAAGATCAACAAAGATATTATGGCATACGTACGTACAACTCACCCCGCTAAACCCAACCAGGGAAAATTATTGAATACAATAGAACTAATATATTTCTTATTTCTTACTTTCATTATCTTTGTAGGAGTTAGTTTTAGACGACTATAAACAAACATGTGTAAAGTTTTTTTTAATTACAAAATCATATCTATTTAAAAAATTTCTTAATCATTGATAATACTCCCTCTGCCCCCCAATGCTCCAAGTTTGTTATACTCTTTGTACATTTGAAGTTCAATCTCTTTAATTTTGAGGAAATTAGTGATTTTTAAAAGAATTTCAGATTAAAATATTTTAAATCTAATTATCAACACTGTTAAAATTCTTCTGCAAATAATTTATTTATTTCAAAATACTACATCAACAAATTTAATAGAAAAAGTTTACGATATTAACAATTGAGCTTAAAATTTTCCAAATGTAAAAAAAGTACAAGGACTTGTAATATATTTTAACCTAAAAGTGTTGTGCCTTAAGAAGACAATTAACTAATAATATAGTAATTTGAGTATTACTTCGCTTGACACCGTTAATATTATAATATTATATAGGAGGATGTGAATTTAAGTGTATTTAAACATGTAATATCCCTCGTTTATTTCAATAAAAGAAAACTACTTTAATCGAGTAATTCCAAGCCCCACACCAAAACACCCAATGAAACATATCTTCTTAACAAATAAACCATGTGTTAATATATGGGGGGGAAAATCAATCAAGTGATCGAACTGGGCCGCCAAACCTATCCTAGCTCGGTTCATGGTTACCTATACACAATACAGTGGCTTCCTTTTCTAATCAACATATTCACAGTTTAAATGAATTAAAAGTTGAGGCCGTAACCTTCTCGTCACAAAGGGAAAACATGTCCAAATGTAAATCTGGGATTTTATTGGCCAACTTTGACATAGACACAGATGTGAAGGAAATAATCCGGATTTATTAAATTGTTTGCCACCCAAGAAAAGGGTATCTCTAGCTTCGGTTCGATACCCTGAATTCGGATAAGCTTGATTTCAGCACTATTGGAAATGTTGCCAGCCTCTGGGTTTTTATATGATCTTTGTCCCTGGTCTTCCAGTACTTTATCACTGCTCACATCTTCATTGGGATTTCTAACTGCATCCTCAAAATCTACTCCACTTAATTTTACATTCGTTAAGGACTCATCCGAAAATAATTCTGGCAGAAGGATCTTCAAAGCATCACGTAAAGTGAAGCATTTATCTGCACAGGAGGAGCAATACAGGAATAAAATAAGCCAATCAAAGCATATCGGCTATAAGCAACCGATTCATTTCCACATGCAATAGTTTCCAGTTCACATGCTTGTTTACATAATCGGCTACAAGCATTGCTCCTTCTTTACGGTTCTCAAATGGTCGATTTATGTAATAGATCTCTCCAACTATCAACTAGGGGCATCTCATCCAAATCATCGAAGTCCTCTCTTATGCTCAAAACATATAATCTAACTGGAACTTTTCCTAACAAGAGCTCACCAACAATTATAATCAAATAATTTAAGGATGATGAAAAGATTTATACTAAAAGCAACATCCCAACCAAATTCAAATGTAACCTGAATTGTTTTTCTTCAAGCATATGCATCAATTAGTTAAGATGCACATTCTCATACTGATTAGTGTTTGCTTACGGTGGTACACTGTTAACATGAAACAGAATTTGTACTGATTACTGCAGTTTTCGATTTCAGATGGACTATATAAAAACAAGTTACTTCACAATTGTAGACACCCGTTTTTGACCGAGATTAAAAAATTAATTATATTATTATTATTATTAATACAAATTACATTTTGCAGGCCTTGAAGTCCATACTTGTTTGCAACCCAAGCCTAGAGGCCCAACACTTAGCAACCCATTACAAGCTACAACCAAGATCCAGCAAAGACCCGACCCTTGACCATCTCAAATGCCATCTTCAGCATCTCACGTGAAACCTGCAACAAATCCTCCAAAGTCAATAAGAATCAATCATCCACCGGAAAATATACCAAAGTCAAAACCAAACACAACCCCGAAAAGCAAGGGATGATTTCACCTAAACACATCATTATCCTACCAACACAAGGAAATTAACATGAAACAAGGGGATTCGATGATAAAAGAGGAGACAGATTCGAAGAGAAAAAAAAAGACCATTAGCAAGCAAAAAGGAATAATAGAGGGGTAGTTTCAACGGGGACTGGGGGCTCAGTTTTTCAACAAAAAAGAGAGAAAAAAATTGAAAACAGGGGGAAACAATTGTAATTGGGGTATTAGAAAACTCAACAACAAATATTTATAAGAGAGATTAGCAGTTGCAATCGAAGAAGATCTATTTTTTTAGCTTTTAAAGGAAAGGCGTTGGTTCACGAAGTGGTCATCAAAGTAGAAGGCGGTCATAAAATGGACAAGAGTTTTCATAACAAGGAAATAAAGAACGCAGAAGTGAGGTCGTGGTCCGAGGAAACTCAGAGGAAGAAAGGTGATAGTCTGACTGAATATTATATCGGTACTACCAGAGGTTGCTCCTGTCAGTCTAAAGCAAAATGATCTGCAAGAATTACGTGAAATTTGGGAGAGTTGGAATTCTGATGTGAAATATGCTTTCTTGCAAAAAATGGTGACGTAGCCCTTTTGTTGTACGTGAAAGTAAATGAACCCTTGATTAAAGCTCTGATCCAGTTTTGGAATCCAGCGTATAGTTGTTTCACTTTCAACAAAGAAGACATGACTCCCACGTTAGAAGTACGCCTCCCTGTTTCATTTTGAAACGATACGTTTGGATAGGATCTACTCGAAGGCCACAAGAGTGCAATCCTTTAAAAGCAAACTCGCAAAGATTACCGGAATAGGAGAGTGGTTGCTGACCGAATACAAAAGAAAGAGGAGTCCGATTGTTTCCCTTGGTCGTGCCTTAAAGAACTTATTGTCAAGCATAACGATATCGAGAAGAGATGGAGATGTTTGCTTTGGGGATTTACGGTTTAGTGATTTTCCCGAAAGTTCTTTGTCATATAGAATCCGCTGTAGTCGATTTATACGAGCGTTTGGAAAGGAAAGTGAATCTTGTTCCTACGATTTTGGCAGAGACATTCAGGGCACTTAACAGTTGCAGAAGAGCAGAGAGTAGCCACTTCACTGGGTGTGTCCAGTTGCTTACTGTTTGGATACGTAGCCACTTCTGGAAGATCGATCGAGAGTACAATCGTCGGTTTTCAACTGCCTATTTGCCCTTAAAAGATTTCCTCACCAAAGAATGGCTAGAGCATCTCCCCAGGAAAGATTGAGTTTCATTTTTCAGAAATCTACAAGATCATGATATAGTATGGTGTGTCCCCTTGTTAGTTTTTGTCAATGTATTGTACAAATGCGGGGATTTCGATTGGGTAACCCTATTAGGGTTATGGGGTGGAGTAGGTTATGCTCCACTAATGGTGTTAAGGCAATTTGGGGCACGCCAATTCGTCCCAGCTACATTCGGCCTGAATACGTCTGATTTTGTGTACTACGGGGATCACTACAAGAAAACCGCTCGCGTAATATCAGATGCATGGAAGTCAACCTTTAGAACCGATTTGGTAGCAGCCGAGGTCATATTGACATTGGATTATGTGGTATGGAGAGCTGTAAGGAAGAATGATGTCATTCCCTTAGCGGATTGTGATCAAGTCATTTCTTTGAAAGTACAGTTTAGATACGTGCCGTCTAAGTTGGAGATACTGAAGAGTGAATACGAAGCCGAAATTACTAGAAAGGAGGCAGAGTGTAAAGCTCATAGGCAAGAAAATTTCATGTTAGACATCGATAAGTGGTTTTCTCTTTTGGCTCTGACGTCTCTAACTCGACGATCCTTTTCGGCCTTGAGCTTCAACCTCCACTGTTCTGAAGTTTTTCCGAGCCCAACAATTTCTCGGGCTCGATTCATCATTCGATAGTCGCTCTGCAAGTTAGCGAAATCGGCCTCAACATCGTCTTTTTTCTTTCGCGTAAGCTCAAATTGTTTATTATAGAACCCCTTATCGATGCCCAACATGAAATTTTATTGCCTAAGAGCTTCACACTCTGCCTCATTTCTGGCAATTTCAACTTCGTATTCACTCTTCAGTATCTCCAACTTAGACGGCACGTATCTGAACTGTGCTTTCAAAGGAATGACTTGATCATAATCCGCTAAGGGAATGACATCATTCTTCCTTACAGCTCTCCATACCACATAATCCAATGTCAATATGACCTCGGCTGCTACCAAATCGGTTCTAAAGGTTGACTTCCATGCATCTGATATTACGCGAGCGGTTTTCTTGTAGTGATCCCCGTAGTACACAAAATCAGACGTATTCAGGCCGAATGTAGCTGGGACGAATTGGCGTGCCCCAAATTGCCTTAACACCATTAGTGGAGCATAACCTACTCCACCCCATAACCCTAATAGGGTTACCCAATCGAAATCCCCGCATTTGTACAATACATTGACAAAAACTAACAAGGGGACACACCACACTATATCATGATCTTGTAGATTTCTGAAAAATGAAACCCAATCTTTCCTGGGGAGATGCTCTAGCCATTCTTTGGTGAGGAAATCTTTTAAGGGCAAATAGGCAGTTGAAAACCGACGATTGTACTCTCGATCGATCTTCCAGAAGTGGCTACGTATCCAAACAGTAAGCAACTGGACACACCCAGTGAAGCGGCTACTCTCTGCTCTTCTGCAACTGTTAAGCGCCCTGAATGTCTCTGCCAAAATCGCAGGAACAAGATTCACTTTCTTTTCCAAACGCTCGTATAAATCGACTACAGCGGATTCTATATGACAAAGAACTTTCGGGAAAATCACTAAACTGTAAATCCCCAAAGCGAACATCTCCATCTCTTCTCGATATCGTTATGCTTGACAATAAGTTCTTTAAGGCACGACCAAGGGAAACAATCGGACTCCCCTTTCTTTTGGATTCGGTCAGCAACCCACTTCTCTCCCATTCCGGTAATCTTTGCGAGTTTGCTTTTAAAGGATTGCACTCTTGTGGCCTTCGAGTAGATCCTATCCAAACATATCGTTTCAAAATGAAACAGGGAGGCGTACTCTTCTAACGTGGGAGTCATGTCTTCTTTGTTGAAAGTGAAACAACTATACGCTGGATTCCAAAACTATCAGAGCTTTAATCAAGGGTTCATTTACTTTCACGTACAACAAAAGGGCCACGTCACCATTTTTTTGCAAGAAAACATATTTCACATCAGAATTCCAACTCTCCCAAATTTCACGTAACTCTTGCAGATCATTTTGCTTTAGACTGACAGGAGCAACCTCTGGTAGTACCGATATATAATATTCAGTCAGACTATCACCTTTCTTCCTCTGAGTTTCCTCGGACCACGACCTCACTTCTGCGTTCTTTATTTCCTTGTTATGAAAACTCTTGTCCATTTTATGACCGCCTTCAACTTTGATGACTACTTCGTGAACCAACGCCTTTCCTTTAAAAGCTAAAAAAATGGATTTTTCGATTGCAACTGCTAATCTCTCTTACAGATATTTGTTGTTGAGTTTTCTAATACCCCAATTACAATTGTTTCCCCCTGTTTTCAAATTCTTTTTTTTGTTGAAAAACCGAACCTCCAGTCCCCGTTGAAACTATCCCTCTATTATTCCTTTTTGCTTACTAATGGTCTTTTTTTTTCTCTTCGAATCCGTCTCCTCTTTTATCACCGAATCCCCTTGTCCTTCATGTTAATTTCCTTATGTTTGGTAGGATAATGATGGGTTTAGGTGAAATCATCCCTTGATTTTCGGGGTTGTGTTTGGTTTTGACTTTAGTACAATTTCCGGTGGATGATTGATTCTTTATTGACTTTGGAGGATTTGTTGCAGGTTTCACGTGAGATGCTGAAGATGGCATTTGAGATGGTCACGGGTCGGGTCTTTTCTGGATCCGGGTTGTAGCTTGTAATGGGTTGCTTAGTGTTTGGCTTCTGGGCTTTGGTTGCAAACAAGTATGAACTTCAAGGCCTGCAAAATGTAATTTGTATATTTAATAATAATAATAATATAATTAATATTTATAATATTTTTTAAGCCCGGTCAAAAATGGGTGTCTACAACAATATTTTGATAGCGCTCGGTAGGGTTCAACAACTGGAAACTGAATAAGTTGTTGTCAAACTGCACATATTATTGAATTAGATTTTTTATAAGAGTTATAGGCCTCGTTAAAAAC